TTCCATATCCTTTTTTTGTGATTTCCATTTCCTTTTGTTGTGATTTTCATTTCCTTTTTTCTTTATTTCCATTTCCTTTTGCGATTTCCATTCCTATTTTTGGTTATTTCCATTTCCTTTTTTGGTGATTTCCATTTCCTTTTTTGTGATTTCCATTTCCTTTTGTGATTCCATTTCCTTTTTTTGTGATTTCCATTTCCTTTTGTGATTCCATTTCCTTTTTTGGTGATTTCCTTTTGCAATTTCCATTCCTTTTTTTTTGTGATTTCCATTTTTTTTTATGATTTCCATTTCCTTTTTTTGCGATTTCCATTTCCTTTTTCTTGTGATTTCCATTTCCTTTTGTGTCCTCACACATCTCCAGGCAGAAAATGTCAAACTCTGCCTGGTTTTTACTGGGAGGATGTTACAGCAGAGTTTACTTTGCTTTTTCCTCRTTAAACCCTTCCTAAATTAACACCAGGCACAGGGATAATTAAAATTTCCGTATTTTTTTCAAGAATAACACACCCAAACACATCCTGAGCTTATTCCCTCATCCAAAATAAGAATTTTTCTTGGTTGGCACCATCAATGATGCCATTAACCATGGTCAGGGGCAATTAAAACATCAAATAATTATGAAAAATAAAATGTAAAGCTTTTCCTCTGGGGCTGGGCGGATAAACCCACAGGATATTTTATGTTCACCCTAAATCAACGTGGAAATAATTCTCTTTTTCACCAGAACACTTAAAGCAGCAAGATCCAGCCTTGAGAGGGCCGGGATTGCCGGGCTCTGCAGTGCAAATGAATGGTTGGTTGCTAATGGCCCCAATGTAGAGATTAAAAATAGAAAATTTCCTTTTTTTCTCGCTTCCAAACAGCTCTGTCTGCCACAAAAAAAAAGTGATTTTAGCTCTGTGTTTTTCCCTGGTGCTCCCCCCAAAGCTCAGGGCTGTGGGAGGTTTRAAGGTTTAACCAGGAGGGTTCATTTTCTGTTTTTATTCTGTTTTATTTCTGTTTTTATCTCTGTTCCACTCTGGCCAGTGCTGGGTTCAAACAGCCCTGGAAGTGAAAGCGGTCAGAATTTCCATCCTGRGAGGGTGATTCAGTTAAAAAAGCAGCCACTGCACCCTGCAGTTMATGTTCCTAATTCTCCAGCACAAAATAACCCTCAGACTGCACAGAGTGAGGAAATCACTTCCACTGGGGGCATGAATATTGGATTTCCTGCTCTGCTACAAAGGCAGGAGTGGGGAATTCTTGTTGCAAAGGTGCTAA